TTAGCTGACTTCATGGAACCTTGAAGCTTCCAGTGTCTGCGTGTGTGTCTGTGTGTGAATGTGTGTGTGTGTGTGTCAGCATGGACGGGACAGACAGCGCGATCAGCAATGCGCCCAATGATGTTTAAAAGATCCCAAAGCGCAAGTCCATCTTTTCAGACGAACTGCAAAATTTTTTTCCCTTGATCTGGTATAACACTGACAGGTGATATGAATAACATTGGTTATCTCTTCATCATGGCGCCTGTTAGTGAGTGGGATATATTAGGGAGCAAGTCAACATTATGTTGTTGAAGTTGATGTGTTGGAAGCCTGTAAAATGTTCAAGTCGAAGGATTTGTGCAGGTCTGAGAAGGACCAGATTGTGATGGCTAGACAAGTGGGTCAGACCATCTCCAAGAAAGGAAAGAACAGTAAGGGAACTAGCATCAGGGCGTTCCAATACAGTTCATGCTCGTTCTGATAAAAAGGTGTCAGAATACAGAGTCTATTGCAGTTTGTTGCACATGGGGCTGCATAGCTGCAGACCAGACATAGGTGCCCATGCTGATCCCTGTCCACTGCAGAAAGTGCCAACAGTGGACACGTGAGCATCGGAACTGCACAACGGAGCAATGGAAAAAGGTTGGAAAATGGTGGCCTGGTGTGATGAGTCTTGTTTTCTTTTACACATGGATGGCCGGGTGCATGTCAGTCGCTTACCTGAGAAACATGGGAAGAAGGCAAGCCAGCGGAGGCAGTCTGATGCTATACACAATGTTCTGTTGGGAAACCTTAAGTCCTGCCATCCATGTGTATGTTAATTGTTGTGTACCGCCTACCTAAACATTATTGCAGACATTGGACGTCCCTTCATGGCCACAAAGCAAAAAAGGTTCAGGAATGGTTTGAGGCTTCCAAATTTAAACTGCATATAATGTTCAGCCATAATAAATGTCATCACATTATGTTATTTCACATACAAGAAATAGCCACAAATATCATGCTTTTTGCTGCCTTACCATTAATTTATCCTACTGCTATGGATTGAAAGGATTTTAATGATGCCAGCAGCAATCTTTCTCAATTTGCTTAATAATTCCAATTCAATTTTCTTTCTATGGGAGATTAAAACATTCACAGATTTTCAGCAACGCAACAGTTTTATTATCTCTGAGTCAGAGCATGGTGTAGAAAACGGAGTAGAGAAGCAAGTTGGATGCGTTTCAGGTTTGCAAAAGGTCAGCGTCTATGAATTTGTTGTAATGGTTTTGCAGCTGTTAAAAAAACTCAGAGCCAGAAAATAATATAAGGATTTGATAAGCCCGGCGGCATGTAATACTTGTGTAGCTGTGTTCAGTTTTGTTGTACAGAGTTGAACTGACAGGATGTGTCTCCAGGCGACTGAAATGAAACAGATCATTACACCGACAAAAATGATTTCTGTGAGTTTGAACATTTGTTGGAAATGTTTGGCATGATGCGAATGCACAAGCTAATGAAATATATAGAACTGGACAAGATGTTTTTAGAGGTTTTAATGCAGAAATGACAGTCCTAATCAAGAATCACAAAGGACTGACTGCTATAACAAGTATGCGATGCAAGGTTATTGCAGTTAATTTAAACTAACTACAAACTAAAAGTAGATGTGAAAAGAAAATATTTTGTTTTGTCTGATGAAGGACATGTTTATTGAGGCTCTGGGTGTCTACATGGCTGTGATTTAACTGTTTTTAAAATGTTGTGTTTTTTAATCGTATAAAAAATTTAAAAAGAAAACCCAAAAAACACGTAAACTAATAAAAAATAAACTAAAACAAGAAAATCCACTCTGGGAACCACCTGGGAAAAAAAACTGAATCAAAAACAAAAAGTCAAAAGCCAAAATAAAATAAAAATAAAAAACTATATTAGCTCTAATGTGATGCTCACATTTTGCAATGCAGCAGCGAAGTGACCAATAAAAATCAAATTAAAACTACATTAAGCTAAGTTCTGATGAGAAAACTAGACAGAAACAGAAACTTTAACAGGAAACCTCAGAGGCACATGATATACATAAAGAAATACTGATATTACAGTGTTAAAAAACAAATGCCTAGATTATGATTTAAGTAAATAAAACAGTTAAGTGTAAAACATAAACCACCACCATTTGAACACATTTCTAAATACACACTTTCCCCCCCTCTAAACTGGCACTTGCTTGTCCAAACTTTGAGAACCCCTGATTCGCAGGAGGATCAGTGCATTTTGTTTTATTTCCATTAACATCTCGACTACTTTGGAGTCAGAATTGTACGTCCTTTGGCATTTTGCAAGTCGGCATGAGTCTCAGTGATGGTACCTGAACAAAACACATTACTCTGCACAGTTGTAGCCTATATAGACCTGGTGTAAGAGGAAGTGCTTACTGTGCATCTCTGCAAATGACTTCTTTTACAACATCTCATCCTACTGCCCAGAATGAGCGAGCAATATTTCATATAGAAAGTTTAAACTTGCATGCCTGTGTTTTTCTTGCTTCTCTTCACAGTTTTCTCTGTGACCTATATTTCTGCCACTGACACAAACCTAAAGGAGAAAACGGTGTCATAATCAAATAAGAAATATGTAAAAATGCAGAGGACCAACTCCAGAGAGAAAGACTCAAACTTTTGCACTTTATGACTGCCATCTGATGCAGCTGAAGAACAGCCATCTCAGCTAGTACGCGTGCGAAGGGAGTCTGAGGAGGTTGTTCGGTGGTTTATGGCAACTGTCAGATGCACTTCCATGCTCCCTCTCTTTCTTAAGCCCTGCTTCCATTAATCATCCTCATTTTCTGTGGACGTTAAAGACGTATCCTGCACCTGCAAAATGCTAAAGCACAAAAGGGGAAAGTGGGTGTGTGTGGTATGTGTGAAAGCTGGGGGCAGGAATTAGTCAAAGAGACAGGGGAGAAAATGGTTGTGCCCTTTAGTTTGACATTTTTGACCACAGCAACACACGTGCGCGAACACATTTTTGCTTTGGGGCCAAATTCTGACGGCGCAACACTAATGAGGGTAAATGTGTCAACTTTTTTCCTTTTGTTGCAGTCCTGTGCCTCCAGGTGTGAAGATGCTGTGTAATCAGAATTTGAAATGTCTTAGTTTTATGTTTTATCAACTATTATGATAGGATTTTAATCCTATAATTGAATCACTAAAATCTGTGAGCTAACATGAGGCTGCCCCCACCCCAAGGATTTATTTCTAACAAGTAAAAGGTTTGATCCATTGTAAGATAAATAAACAACCCACAAACAGAGCACATCTGCTCACCTAAACTTATAATGAGCAACGGTATGCTACAAATAGTTCAAACAGGGTCCCCAAACTTTTAAAATTCTTCTCACTTTGAGTTTTTTATGCAGGTAAGGTATTCTAATAGCACTAAATCAAACAGCATTTATTTTCTCAAGACTGGACCGTTGCCTCTCTGGCATTAATGAGAAGCAACTCTCTCGTTTCCAGCTGGTTCCGAATTCAGCAGCTCTGCTTCTTACTGGTTTCTGCAGACAGACTTCTTACCTACGCTGGCTTAGCTCCACTGGCTTCCTGTGCATTTCTACAATTGATTTTCAGATTTTAATGATCACTTTCAAAGCTTGTCTGGATCTGGCCACAAGGTACATAGAAGAACCATTTTTTCTAATAAGAGCATGCTCACAGCCTTAGATCATCAAAAGACCTTTGAATCTTCATTTTCTAGCATGGTGGTTTATACTATATACGATATACAAATCCAGTTGGGGGTAATGTCAGGAATGGCATCAGGTGTTTATTTTAAAACATATTTTTTTAAAGGGATTCTTTTACCTGTGATGTCTTCTGTCGTCTGGTTATTATCCTTTAGTTGTCTTGCTAGCTGCCTGCTCCAGCCCTCCATATATTTGACTTATTTTTTAATTCCTTTTGTCATATGTGTGTGTTGGGTGGGTAATATTAAATCTTTCACTAATCCACTGCAGTGTGATGTTGTTGCCTGCGATATAGGTAAGAATACAGAACAATGTGAGGCAGGTTGTTAAATGAAATCAGCAGTTTTTACCATGTCTAGTGCTTAAAGATCAGTAGCTCAATAGTGAAGTCATGATCATGCACATTGGTGCATCGGTTAGCACTTTGGATTGAGATTAAAAAAAAAATCTTGATAAATGTTTGATTTGATTGGTTAATAGTAAGTTAGTCTTGTTCTACTGACCACCTCCTTCATAAGTGAAATACATTTCTTTCCCAGTACTGCGTATACTTGGCTAACAGGCCAATATTTTTCTGTCATTTGAGTACAGAATGAGTCATAACACACATTTAATTATTCAGGGTAAAAGAAGCTGTAAACTTGTAACATGAATGAAATCCCACAAGCTTCATTACTTTTCAATTTAAAAGTTGGGCTATTTTAAAAAATAACTTAAAACGAGCCAAATTGATTTCTGTGCTTTGACAGTTGTGTTGCAGAGGATTCGGTCGGGTTCTGTGGGAATTTTCTGTCAATGCATTTTTTTGTTACGTTGCCAAAGCTCTGTGCACGGTGACAATGGCACCGAGTGCTGAAGACAATGACGGCAAGGGAGACCGTGCCTTTCTGTCTGGATAGGAATGTGTCCCCTTGCCCAGGTCACAACGCTCCGTTCAGTCTGGGCCCCCGACAAAAAAACGCACGCCACTCCATAAAAACATACCAGGTGACGCTTTGTTCGAGTCGTTCATTATATCGCTGTCACACGTCGGTCCCTTTGACTTATTCAAGATGGTCAGAGGCAGACCCGAGGACCCTGTGTTGCGAAAGCAATGAATCACACCCACTTGTAGTCATCTGCAGAGTGGGTAAGCTCATGGTAATTACATTTAATCACAGTGATTACCACTAAATGTGCTCCATAATGACTCTCCTTGTGATGATAAAAAAAGTAAACTCTTCGGAAAGTAACTAAATTACATATAATCCATCTGGAAGTGCCGTTCATGTCTGTGTATATTTTCTCCCTGCAGGTTCAGCTTACTATGACAATGTGCGGCCATTAGCTTATCCTGACTCAGATGCTGTGCTCATCTGTTTTGACATCAGTCGACCGGAGACGCTGGACAGCGTACTGAAAAAGGTCAGTGTCACATTGTTAGATGTGTGAATGTGTCCTCTTTTTTTAATTTTAAGTGCATTTTGTCTCTAATTAGGGTAGTGTAGGTAAAGCAGCCATCATTACAATACTCACATTAAATATGCAGGTTGAAGGAGTCATCTCTTCTCTTTATACTGGAAATCGATTCCTCTATAGAGTGACTAGATCTACGTCATCAGAGATATTCAGCTTCCAGCTTTCACCATCACGTCTGTGTTCAAGTTAAGGCCACCATGTGTTCGTTCACTGATAACCTGATCCTTCGATCTACGATAGGAGAATAAAAAGAAACGATGAGAAAACATTGCCAGCTGTAGAGGTAGAGACTGGGATAACATTTAAGGTTGGGTAATGCTTTGTGAGAGGCATACACGGACAAGCCAACACATGAGATACAGAGATTAATGGGGATATTGGGAATGAAGTGAGATTCTGGAAGAAAAAAGAGAGAGAGAGAGAGCACGAACAAATGGTACAGAAGGGAAAAGGGGGAAGCGATAAAGAGTCAAGTAGTGTTCATGTAGCAGAGCATTACTTTGAGAGAATAGTCGTTGTAAAAGGAAAATTAGAGGTTGCAAAAATTGCTTAGGCGTAAGGTTCTCAGAGATGTCAGAACAAAAAGTGCTGTGCACTTATTTGAGACTGAAAGCTTGCAAATGGAAAATACATTTAAAGCAAAGCAAACTGCAGAGAAACAAGACATGGCGGCAGATTGCCATAAAAAATTTAATTAGGTGCATGAGATCGTAGCAGAGGATAAGCTTTGTTTCTAAACTTTGGATAAACTTTGGATAGAGTGACCGCTCGACATGTCACTTTGGCATCCCGTGCATGCATTGTAAGAGCGGCACATTCACCGCGATTACTAAGGTCATTTGATAAGGTCAAAGTTGAAGTTCTCAAGTGGACCCCCTGTAGACGTGAGAATTCGCTCGGCATTGGCAGATATGCGTTTTCGTCTGGTATTGATGAAGTCATTATGAATAATGGCACGGATGAGAGGAATGTGTCTTCCAAACAGAATCAATTAAACCCCTTTTCTCATGTTTTAAGAAGATTCTGGCTTTCAGGGGATTCATTTTTCCTGCTTTATTGATGGTGAAGAAATTGTTTTTTTTTAATACTTCTTCTATCTGAGGCACACAGTTCCATCTGTGAGCACAGAAGCTCCAAAAAAAAAAAAGAAGTTGGCTTAAGAGAACGTAGCTAAAACAGCTTGTGTTAGAAAACGCATGAATTTAGATGCACCTAGGTCCACTATAAGACATGATGAAGAGATAATTAATTTGAACCGTGGATCAAACAGGCAAAAATGAGCATAATGGGTTCACCTCTACCTGACTGCTGTGGTACGTGCACGTTCTTGGTTTGCACACAGTGAGAAAGTGAGGAAAGTAAAAACAACAACCTCCGTTTTTCTTTTTTGATAAACCAGCGCCTCGGCTCCAACAGCTCGCATTCTGCCTCTTTGTGCTGCTTACCAATTCTTAACATTAACACAGACAATAAGCCGCTCTTCCCATGGGCCCTTTGTGACTCATCTAAATTGCTGCTGTTCACCAGTTGCGTGCGGTTTGGCACAGGGTCCTATTGAAAGGCAACAGCTCACTCTGCACAACGGCGCGCTAGAGCCCGTAACAGCAGCGACGCAGGCATCCAGGAAAAAAGATCTCTTTGTAAGGGAGAACAAATGGAGCAACAGTGCTCAAAGCGGTCGCCTCTGCCATGGTGTGAGGAGATAATGAAAGGAGTCTCGGAGAGAAAGAGAGCGATAGAGAGAGTTTAATAGCTTGAGTCATATTTTGGCCTGTAATGAGAATTGTCTGTCTCGGTCATTTATGTCCATGAGCATCCCCCCC